TCCACCCAGTGAACTGTTATCGCTCTCGTCATTGGCTGTGATTCCACACTACCTTGTCTAGCTTGTTTGGTGGAAAGAAGTGTCAGAGGGCCACAAACTGTGTTTATCTGCTGTTTTTTTTTTTACTGAGTCTTCTCTGTTGTGCATCTGCTGTCCAACGACGCATGTTTGGATTTCCCGTGTTGTTGCTTCTTTTTTTTGTTCTCTGGATCTTTCACATCTCCTTCAAGCCTTTATTTCCCTTTTTTTTTTCCTTGTTGGCTGATCCATCTATTGTTGGGGAGCGGCACCTGCTGGAAACAGGGTCCAGCATCCCTTAGATACATTCATTAAGTCCAAAATCGGGCTACCGGCATTAGACGTTCTAATCTATGGCACCCAGTTTTCCTTGGAGCTGCTGATAGTCCCATTCCCCTGCCCGGGCCTCTCTGCTATCATCTTGCCCTGCCCGCACCTTGAAGTTGCCTGCTGTTCTTTCTTGTCCTGAAGACTCACATTCACCTGTTAGACCCAGGCTACTTCTAGTTATCTGCAGCCCCCCAGTACCCCTAGCGGCCTCCTCAGTGTGAAGGCTGCCTATGTGTGCGTTTTCGCTTTTCTGAGTTTTCCCTTTCAAGAAAGGATACCCAAGTTCATGCAAGATGTGCAGAAAGGCTTTGTGCTACTAAAGGACTCCCCTGATTAGTCCTACCCTTTCTCAGAGAAGACAACACCCTACACCCTACACCCTACGGCCTACACCCTACACGCTACACCCTACACCCTACACCCTACACCCCACCCTACACCCTACACCCTACACCCTACACCCTATACCCTACCGCCTACCGCCTACCACCTACCGCCTACCGCCTACCGCCTACCGCCTACACCGTACACCCTACACGCTACACCCTATACCCTACACACTACACCTTAGGGTGGCCCAAATCTTGACCAACCCCGACCTTTCTAAGTGCACTTGGACTAGAGCTGACTAAGAGTGAAATAGCAAAACTGACGCCTTCATACAGCGACATAGTAATTGTGAAATTAACACCCTACACGTTAGACCCTAGACCCTAGACCCTAGACCCTAAACTCCACACACTTGTTATGAACTTGGTTGTCTGTCGATTTTCACCAACACCCACACGCAGACAGTCTCACGCACGCCCATACATGCATGAGAAGAAGGGGAGAGGAGACAGAGTACACACTGCACACAAACAGAGTAAGCAGCGGAAAAGCACTATGCACAGGTGTGGAGATAACACGAAATGTTTCCCACTCTCTGACAGTACTCCCAACAACCAATCGCAAGTAGACACCCGCAAGGATAACAAAGGAACAATCTGAGATTGAGCCAATCTGAACCAATATCGTTACAGAGTTTGTCCTAGTGTCTCGCCACTCACAGAACCACACACTCCACTCCCTATACTACACCCAATTAGTAGTGCTACACCACATCAGCCTCCCAGAGGCCTGCGCCAACCACCCAGATGAAGAACAAGAACCACGATGTAATCCTTAGTGCCGATGAGCAACTCTGACGAAGAAAGCTGCAGCTATGGCTGCAGCGCCACTGTAGATGCCATACACGACCCCAGAGGAAGAGGCAGCAACAATGGTCCACCCACGAATACCATGTAGAGCCTCAGAATAGCCCAGCCGATCGCAAGCACCCCCAGGGGTGGATGCTGAGAGGACGCCCCAGGTATGGCGAGCTCCAGAAGGCTGGCTATGGCTTCCGTCCACGACGAAGGTCTCAGGATGCCGCCTGTAGGCAATCGTCTCCACTGTACTTGCTTGGCTCGGAACGCTGTCACTCGAAAATGAAAACAGCCAAAAGTCATAACCCTAGCGACCTACATCTATTAGTAGACTAACCTAGACCTAGACACCGGACTGGACCGACCAGTACCGTTTCAGTTTGGGCCTCTAGCGCCTCTACCTACCCTGCTATAGGCTCTCATGCTACGGGCCTAGGCCCTAGGGCTTCCCGTCCGAGTGATAGCCCGGGCCTGCTATTCGCAGTGCGGTCTAAGGGAACTGCGGGCCTGTAATTGTCCCAAAATTGCAAATATGTCCCTCACGAATTTCCCTCAGCACTGAACTCTCGGTTAGTCCCTCCCTGACACAAACAAAATTACGAATCTAACCCTACCACTGTTACCGTACAGCCTCGCAGTTAGATCTTGGCAGTCAAAATCAGCAAGTCATCGCACACTGCGCGTTAAACACACACCCTACATTTTAACCTTTCAACCTACACCCTACACTCTACACCCTACAGCCTACAGCCTACACCCTACACCCTAACCTCTGCACTCGACACACTACACCCTGCACCCTACACACACCCTAAACCCTACACAGGAAAACCTAACCCGAAAGGGACCCAGCAGAACTAGAAGCGCACACTCTTCTTCTGCTGTCAAGGTCCTTGTACAGTCTATGCTTGCGAGGGATCGGCCATGGGATGAGTGGCCCCCAGAATAAGGAGGGCCTACGGAACGACAGATTAGCGACGAACATCTGCCTGTAGTCTGTCATATGGATTCCCTTTTTTCTTCTTTGTTTGTAAAGAGAGCGACAACTGTGAGGTATCATCAATGGAGCGGACTGGTCTCAGGTAATTCTTGAGTTAGTTCACTCTTCTCATTCGAGAAGAATTCGACCTCAGGTCTCTTTATCGACGGTTCACGAGTGTTGACCCCTCTCTTTTTTTTTTTTTTTTTTTTTTTTTTTTTNGAATCATGAACGTCTCACACACACACACATTCCATCGATAGGATGAGCAAAATGGGAATGAATCTTCTGTTGAAACGGGGAAGAATGCCCTTTGGATTAAACTCGTTGTGTTATATCCCTGTCAAGGGGTCGCCGAGGTTGTGCAATAGCCCTGTCAGGGGCAGAATGCAACCTCTTTGGATTCAAATCATTGTGTTATCCCCCTGCCAGGGGGTGGCCAAGTGTGTGCTATACCCTGTCAGGGGCAGAATGCGAACTTGCATTCTGTCCCTGATAGGGGTCTAGCACAAACTTTGCGACCCCCTGACAGGGGTATAACACAACGATTCAATTCGTAGGGGCATTTCATACACTCCTGAAATTTCAGAGGGGTACTCTACTCTATCCAGATCTTTTAGGGGTATTTTAGCATATATGTGGAATATAATAGAGCAAATCATGGTATTGCAATGAGCATTAGTATAATACTAGGAAAATTAGTCCGCATGATATCTACAGTGGTGCTGGTGTTTTTTAACTGTAGGAATACTACTGTGAAGTTGATGGGCTTACCATGAGCTAGGTTAGGGCGATTGGTGGTCTTGGGAGCCCGTAGCAAATGCATCTTTGATGCCTTTTTTTTTTTTTTTTTTTTTTTGACAAAACTCAGGGTGCAATCTATTCATGGGGAGCATCACGTGCTGAGAACCGGGCTCAGTGTCCTTTTTGAGATTCATAGGTGCAAGTTTGAGACAAACATGAGCATGAGACAATCAGAGAAAAGCCACTGTGCTGGAAACCGGGTCCAGCATCCCATGCCTCTTGAGTCTTGACTAACTGAAACCAAAAATCGGGGTTCTGCCTCTTCATCCATCTCGCTGGATGCCAGAACCTACGCAGAATGCTAGCAGCCCATGGCCGTTTAAACTTACATACCCAAAACGTAAAAATGATTTTAGCTACGAAATCATTAAAACCCTTATTAAATAGCCATCGCTTGTTCAAATCACAACAGCACTTCGTAAGCAGTGTGTGTAATCTGACTAAGCTTCCCTCAGGACCGGGTGTGAAAGATTTCCAAGCACATGGCTTTTCATCAGTTTGGGAAAACTACTGACTGTGTGCCGTCCATTTTCATGTACTGTGGAAACTCTGATGCCGCACTTCGTGCTTGCACACGGAAAAAAAACAGAAGTTGGTAAGCATGTAGATGGCGAGCCTAGGCCGAACAATCCTCTTATGGGTGTTGGCTCGTGTTTATGGCATTTTCACTATAAGAAAAACCCAATTCCAGAGAGAATTGTTCATGGAATTACGCCTATAGAAACTCCTTCGACTGCCAGCCGCCAAGAGTGTTGATCACACACCCATTTGTTTCAGCGGGTGTCAGAGTCGGGCCTCTAACAGGTGTGCTGGTTTTGTTTTCTCCACGATTTGATGGGGCTGCTCTTATCACCTCCCGACACTAAGGGCTGGATCCCACAGCGATGCGCCTCGGTAAAAGTTTCAGCCACGTGTGTGGGAAATGTCAGAGCCAAGCCCCACGGGGACCCAAGAGAAAAATACTCACAAGGGAATGATAAAGAAGACGATGCCGTGAGTTTAATGTCGTGCCTTCAACACCTCCTCCCCAACGATCGCTGATATCATCGTACCAAGGAAACTCAACCCTTCTACTCGTACGCCACTCAAGTTGATGGTGAATTCTACGAACTATGCATGTAAATATGTTTCTCCATACTCCTATTTCCCTTATTGAAGCACACGGAGCACGCGGTAAGCCTTCCTCCTTTCAGCAGGTCAGCGTACTACACCGTACCCTTTGTGACAGAAACTGCACAAACTGCAAAATCTGTGAGAAGCCCAAAAAAAACACACGAGCTTACATGGCCTGGTTTCCGCCTGGGTTCATACTACTTCATAGCAACTGTTTTTCATACAGCTTTTTCACTCCCGAATCATTTTTGTGTTTTTTTGCTTTGCTTTTCCAAACGGGTTTCATAAGACAAAGTTACCTTCAGGACCGCTCTCTTT